TCAGTAACATCTACAAACATTTAAAAAAAATATGATATTGTTTAAGAGAAACAAAGCATGAAAGCGGCAAAATTATATATTTACGCTACTTACTTATTCTTTTAAAGATATATTACATTGAAAAAAATATATCGTTTTATTTTTAAAAATTAATATGTAGCTAACGTAGTGATAAATATGAAACCGATCAGCCGTTACAACTGAAATAAATATCGTACGTGGTAATAGCTTGAAGCGAACTAATGTTTTAAAGATGACAATTTATGGTTATTTGTTAGCAATAAACTGCCTCTTATCAAAACAGCTCAAAATTCTAAATTCTTTTATTTTAAGTTATAAATAAATGTTTCTACACTACAATATACATCATTACAGATAAATTCCGACTAATCAAGAAAGATCAAAGTGAAACCAACAAACCGTAGCTAATCGATGTAACCGGCGCATGAAGTGAACAGGTCAGGTGTAAAGTTCAAGAAACAATCACCAAATACCTGTCGGCGTGCATAATTCATGCGATTCCATTAGGCACCTGTTGCTACTCTAGCTGTCAAAGCACGTCGTTGCTGTCTACACATGCATTTAATAGACGTTTAGATAATACTCCTGACGTAAATAAGCCATGTAAAGTGCTATGCTTCTACTTTGGACTTCTATTAAATTAAATGTCAATGAATTACTTTAAAACTTCTGAAAAGAAAATAACTGTGTTATAGGCCTATAATTTCAAATCTTGTTTTGTTTGTAATTCAAAACTTCATAGCTAACATACGATATATTTTTATTTTATTGTTTTGTGAATTGTAAAACCCAATACTCTATTACATAATTGTCTTTGTCAAAGAATTTTCAGGTGAATAGTTAAAAAGACATTAGGGATTAGGTACATTCTCTTATCTACCTAAATAGATCAAAGCAATTTGTATTCGTCCCTTTTTACTGGACCCTTAATGAAACCGCAGCCGTGGGTAAGGTCCACTATCATAATTTGTAAAGAGCCAAAAACCATTTTAAACTATTCATTACTGAAATTAAATTAAAATAATACACATTAATTTCGCCTGTACAAAAATTAACGTATATAATAATAATTTTAATTAGTAAACATTTCTACTAATGTTTTGTTTAATATTATACATATATTTCAAAGCTTATGGTTATAACTTTCACGAAGCGTATTCAACTTTTATAAAGTTAAGTTTCCAATAAATGTATCCGACATGTTAATTTTAAGGGTGATTTTTTCTTAAAACATTCTTAAAACATGACCGAGATGTCGAAAGATAGTTATTTGGAGGACGAAAACCCTTTGCGCCAACCCTACGGGAGTAGAATAAGGGGAGATGATGACGATGATGATGATACACATTCACAAATAAAATGTAGCTATGATAATATTTGTGTTTTTTAATTGTTTTAGCGACCACTAGTAACAAAAGTGTGTAACATACTCTAGAGTAAAATCAGCGGCCAACAAGTTTATTTTACCAATATAAAGTCAACAAATAGTTTACAAAAGGTTACAATATTATGCGAATGCTCTTAAGTGAAGTAATATTTAATACGAACGAACGGGACTGTAAGGACAAGGTGCGTGCGATTATGGTTCTCCACAATTTCCTACGTACATTTGTACTACTGAATATTAACTATGCAAAATGTCGCTATGGGAATTTAAGCTGACACTACTTGCCTAATTCAGAGTTTCATAGAATAATAACACAGGTATAATTGTTGTAGCGAAAACGTCAAGACGCTATTTCACGGGAAATAACTGTTTCTAAATAGTAATATAATGTTTATTAACATATGGCGTAAAAGTATAATTGGTTCGAGATCATTAATACTAAAACAACACACAGATACTTTCAGCAACTAAAAGTAAATGTACTACAGAATTACCTAGTACTTTTCGTATAATTTAAAAAGTTTGCCAATTATTTGCGTGCGGCGCAACGAATGTGAACAAACAGACTGGATACGTGATCAGAATATTTAGGACGAATAACTTTTAGGTTCGGAAAAAGAAACGTCCAAACCTATTTCCTTTATAATATAAAAGTAATGGTTTTTATTTGATATTGTTTTATCCCAAACAAAAAGTTTTGAACGCAAATATTACTTTGATCGATAAAACCTATACTTAGTCATTTTTTACATTTAGTTAGCAACATTAAGTAATTAACGAAACTGTTTAATGTCTATACGCTGCAGAAGGTAAAATAAATAGGATTAGGTGTCTACATTTATTCAAAATTCAATATACATTTTACACATTCTGGGTTCAAAGATATCCAACCCTCATTCATGATTTATCTACAAACGGCGACCGAATGGTTGCAGTACACTGATGTATTCGTGAATTCTTTTCATCCATTTATTTTGGCAATTCACTCTTTAACACCTTCTTACAGTCCGCTACACGGCCTGAATAAAATAACAGAACGAAAACCCATGAGCGAAGATTCAATGCTAAAACAAGTGGCCTGAATACTGATAAAGCTTTATTACCAATAACGAGCTTATCCGAATCCCATTTAGCCTTCACATTTTATAAATTGCCAAAGCATTCAAAGGAAATGGATTCGTTAAATGTTGGCATATTTACTTAAAACATACACAGTGATTTATAAAACATTTTTTTTTTACTTTTATTTTTGTAACGATGGTTTATTTATCAAATAATTTATTCATTCTTTAAAATACTAACTGAATTTATTAAAGCATCATTTTCGTAAAACAAACATATCAGATTACACGAGGCCAGTAAAATCTCAAGATACGGCATGCGATATACGACTAACTTTCACACGAAATTAAATTTACCGCCTCATGAGTCGATTTATTTGGGGGTAATGTTCTGGGTTTCGTTTGCAGATAAGAGCCTCGATGCGTATACCTACATCGACGCTTCTACTGATGAAAACTTCAAGCTCCCTCGGGCGTTCTCTCTTTTATTTCTCAAAGTTGTAAAAAGTAATGAGATATTTTATCTCTGAGGCTGGTTTTTCCATTGTACGAAGTTTGCTTAAGAAATCGTAGGTCTCCCTCCGAAATCGTAAGATTTCAATCTACGATTACATTAGAATATTGTACGGTGGAATTTTATTGCCATCATCAAAGTCCGGGCCATTTGTTGAACACGAAAAGAAATTGGAGATGATTTTTAACCTCTTAAGCGGAATTAACGTTTTTTATATTAACATGGTAGATTATGTCAACTAATCGCATTCGTTAATGTTTTCTAAATAAAAAGTATTATAAATCTATAGCCATACATTTAAGAATACAAGTAGAGAAAAGAATAATATGCTGTTATATTATCTTCTGTCTTCGCCTTTTCCCAGTTAATTGGGGTCGGCCTTCCTTGTCCATAGTGTCCAGACAGCACGAATCTTAGAGGCTTGTTAGAATGCCTATATATAATATAAGGCATTATTTATATGAGGGTTATACATACTGCACGTTAGTAATATCAACGATGGATTGTAAAATTAAGATAAATTGGAAAATGCTTCGTCGTTCTAAATATATACAGTAAAATATACAAATCTTACTTTAAATTTTTGTATCGCCTATGCTTTGCAACATATTTTCAGCTCTGAATTTAAATAGTAATTTTAAGTACAAATAAAAATCCAACTTTACTTTTATACTTCTTCTATAAATGTAGAGCATTTAAATAAATTATAATCTACATTTTCACATTAAATTGAATTTTATTTTTTTAAATGCCATTTTTATTAAAAATAAGTGTTTAAATTATGCATTTGTGTTAAACTTGTAGAACAAAAAATCTAAGTATTTATTTTGTATAGAAAAATGTAACTTTTCATTTTTCTAGCTAGTGAAATACGAAAAAAACCAAAAGACATATCAAAGGAAAACTTTATGCTGAAGAAGTTTTAGAACTTTAAAGTACAATTTTTTGAGTCCTACTTACAACGTCAAAGAGCTAAAGACCAAGTTAGTACCTATATTTTTATGAATTATTTATTCAAAACAGTAAAATCAACAGAACCTAACAACTATTTTATATAAGTATAGTAACACGTAATATATACAAACTTGAAGTGTAACTTTGTGATAAAAATTCGAAAAGTCATAAAATAAATTATCGTACGAAATCCATAAATAAAAGTGAAAAATGTGCAACCCCTGAGGCTTTGCAATTCGACGCCCGCCACAGGCTATCATTTCATTCCGACATAGGACACGAACATAAATTTTATATATATCCTCATATATGTTTTTTTCACCCACGCAGCCATAGTTACATACATAAATAGTAAATATGTACGTATTATATAATAATATTTGTGAGGTTTTTTTGATTGTAAAACATTTTTTTTTTCATCTTTCCCTTCGATTCCTCTTCCTTTCGATTTTAAGCAAACAAAATTGAAAATTACTGTTGATTATTTACACGACAGTAAATTTTCTTACTTAATAAATAATTTTGTACCCAAATATACGTGATTTTGAAATGAATAATAACATTCCTTCCAAAACCAAATAGCTGTTTCCGTCTGTTTACCAACTTACACATCCATTCCAAAATAAGAAAGTATCATGCATTTGATAATAGAAGTTATAAACTAAATGAAAATTAAATGTCACTAATGAAAATGAATAATTTCGTAACAAGTCGTAGCTCGCAATTTTGTAGCCCGTAGCATCGTAGCATCGTAGTTCTTAAACCCGTAGCAATTTACAGAACAGCTCTCCTCGCTTTAGTTGTTTTCGATATGTTTATTATTACATTTTGTAACCAAATATTTAATTCCAATGACATTTAACAACAACTTATTTTAGTGATGTTTTTTAATTTGAATACAATTTGTATAAAAGACACATACATAAGAAAGAAACCGGTTCAAGTTATAGGTAATTGATGAAGAATTCGAATGTTCAACAAGAGATAAAGACATCCATCGCTGCCACACTCGCTACCTCTAATATAACGCATCCATCCACATCCGCCTCCACATGACCCTTACCGTACGTCATAAATTTTATCACTTCGATGAGCGGACGCTGCAAAGATCTCTTTTCGGTTTCACTATCTGCAGAATTAACGAGCCGTAAACTCGTGAGCAACTTTCCAAAGGTTCGTTTTTAAGTCACAGCTCTTATCACTATCAATATTTTAACACATAATAATTTATTCCCAAAAACAACGCCACATACCACATCTTTTATACATAATTATTTAAAAATCCTCTGATTCTTATTCAAACTTTAATAACTTTTTTTAATTATCTGTAAATCTATATAATTTTAACGTCTTTAAATTCATTCAGATTCAATAAGGGAAAGTTTATAGCACTGGAGCAATTCCGGTAGTTACTTTAGTTTGTCGTGGTGTTGACGCGCGATGCGTCTGAAATGTCAAACGATGCGGTGATCGGGAAGCGTGTGTAGGTCGCGCGGCGAGCAGGCGCTCGGCTGGCGGCCAGCTGCGGACTGCGCGGGCCGCGTCCGCTGCGCTCGCGAGGCCGCTGCCGCCCCCGCCCCGCGCCGCGCCGCCCGCGCACGCGCCCGCCCGAGATCGATACACCCCGCCCCAACCACCGGCGCGCCCGAAGGGGGCGACCGACCCACACACGCATTCGTCGCGACTCCAACTCTTAAGGCACGCCAGCTCGTCTTCAGCTTTTTTAATACCATAGGTCACCTTGTCGCTGAAAATCACATAAGCAAATGTTGATTTAAAAAAAAAACAGTGCAATGGCCACCAATATACTAAGTTCTATGTAATATAAGTATTATACACATGCGTATACTTATTCACTTTTAACTACCATAAACCATAACATTGTCAATATTTCTGTAAAATTAACAGTAAAAAAAAATTATAGCGTTTGTAACTCTGTCAACCTTCTTTTTTTACGTTTCATTGGCACCAATAAACTTGCTTTGTCACGGGGTCATACACTTTAATAGGTCGTAGGAAAATAAATTCTGGACGTAGTCACATCTGTAAAATTCCTTTTACATTTGGTGTAAGTGTTTCCCATAGACTTTGGAGCGACACCAACTTCAGATGCCCATAGGCTATTATCTCGTCAGCTTCTTACGCCTTTACTATTTTGGAGAATCTCTCGTGTGAATATATTTCCTTCGCTTTAGATTTTTACTCCTTCAAAATATGCACAAGCAGATATTTCTGAAACCATAATGACATTTTTTTCTAAACATATCGAACATTTCGATATACCTATTTGTTTATCTTATAAACTTCGCAATAAAGAGCTATATTTTGTTCTTTATTACATTATCCAGATGAGTACCTTAACTAATTAATACATTGTAGTAAACACTGAAACTAGTCGCTGCAAAATTAAATAAGGTTACCATTTTGCCTCACATCTTCCGCTCCGTACCCACGTGGATACGGACAAAAACCAACAAAGTCGATTATAACGGCTGCTTTATTAAATCCGTTTATTACATGCATTTACTAAATTTAATATGATTTTAAAAACATAAAGGATATTTTTTGCACTGTTGCTTTACATTTATGTCAATTTAAACAAACATTGTAAAAGAAATATGGTTAAAAGTCACGAATCAACATTTAATTTGCCACTACGATTTTTAGGGACGATAATAATCTATTTTCCTCTTTAGATTGTATTAAGATGTAAAATTTGTGTTGTGAAAAAGACTTAATTCGTCAATCAGAATCATAGACTTAATAGAAACTGTAAAATTTCAGATAATTAATTACGTTTTGTTATGTTTTTCAACATTTAAGAAACTATTAAGCGAGAAATGTCCACTGAGTATAATAATAATTCAATTGTACTGAGGTTGTTCAAAGATGAATTAATTAAGCTGAAAAGGACAATTTTCACAGCTCGTTGAGAACAACAACGCTCAATTGAAACTTAATTTAATATGCTCTCTGATGTAGCTTGAATAGCTATCGACATTTAAACAATTACAATTTAGATTTCATTTGCATTTAACATTTCAGTTGTGTGATCAATTTCGTAACAAGAATGTTTGTTATGTTATTTCATAAAACCAATTTGTTACGAATTTACTTTGAATATAAGAAGTATAACCTAATTTCTTATCTTCAAAGTAAGTTCTTAACTTCAGTGAAGTGTTTTTTCTAATATGCTAACCTATAAAATTACTGAAAACGTTTTCAATTAATTTATATCACAACAAATATGTACTTATTCTCTGTAAGACTTTGAGAATGTTTTGATAACATTAGTAAGTTAAAAACAAGTATGATGACTATAAAATAAACAAAACAACAACTTTACAAAAATATGAAAGAGTATAAAAGGCGTTGGTGTCCTATAAAAGTGGAAATCACAAAATATTCATCGCGGGATGGAGGCCGACTGGCAGCGCTACACGTCCCTTCTCATCTTTTCCGCAAAACCTCTGGCGAATCAGCAAAAACTTTCATTCATCTGTCTAAAGAGTACATAAAACGAGATGAAACGGCTCTCTAAAGCTAACACCGTTCTTTTTCATGGACAAGAAAATATTGCTTTTTACTATATTGTATTCGCAATAATGCACAGACTTTTATAAATTATTTATACAGAAGAACTTTTATAAGTACGATAACTCTATTCCAATTACGGGTGAACATGAACATAAATACCGTAAATTAATAATGTCTGTAACATGTATTAAAATTTTAAAAGTGCTGTAATAACTTACTGTGTTAACTATTTTTTTTCTATTGAACATGTATAATCAAAAATAATGAACATTAAAAAGTATTAAATTTTGAGAGCGATTAAAATATGTGTTCTTTTATATAATGTAGGTTTTATCAGGAAATATGATGAGAGTCGTCAAACCTTTTGGATCTTAGCCTACTATAGACAGGAGTTATCGATAACTTTAAATTCGTATCTAATACCTTGTCTTACACTGTACGTTGTCTCACAGCCTTACAAATAAACGCTGTATAAAGTTAACCTTAGGAATAAACTGAGTATAAGCAAATATTAGTATCAATATTAGTACAAATTTTGCTCAGTTTATTCCTAATTTTAACTTTATACCGCGTTTATTTGTAAAGCTATTACACTTTTTTTATAACAATACACTAATTGCACATTACAATCAATCACTTGTTTAAAAAGTTACATTAGCAAAAGAACGGTATTTTCGTTGGACATTACTGAGCATATGTTTCCCGAATGAAGATGAATTGGTTTCTATAATTGATTGTATCTCCACATTTGGCGGCCGAGCGCACAATCGATGTATCAGATTGCGAACTGTTTCGACGTTCGTTCATTCTCGGATCCCTGTATTTTTGACCTATTTCAAATCAACGACTAAGCGAATGAATCAATCGTTTGTATAAAACTTTCGTCTTTCATTTATCTTTATGTTACGAAAGTTTTGAGCTAATCTATTATCAAACTGACAATCGATTTTTTTAAATATGATAACGTGGTCAACGAGCGAGCGGCTACCTGATTCCGCCAAAATGGCGAAGCGACCGCTACCTTTAGACAGATGAGGATGCACATAAAGAGGAAATGACCCCTTCCTATGCGTCTCCTCTACCGTCAAATCCACTTTTCCTTCCTATTCCTTCCTCTTAAGAAAACGGTGAAAAGGATAAGGGACTTAAATGAGGCCTATGTGACAATACTTTTAAGTACTCGTAATACAATTGCTGGACTCCAAGCCTAAATTACTTTAATTATATATTTTAGTTAAAATTATAAATATACTGCAATAAATTAAAAATAAATGTAAAAGTAATTTAGTACTGAAAACATTTACAACGGGATAGGCGAGTGTGTATGCAATAGTATCCAGGCAAGTACTACTCAAGTGATATTTGCCGCGTCCTCGAACACAGCGCTCTGTTTGCTAGACACACACGTCACCAGGCTCTACGTTACGTCTATAGGCATCCTACGATCTTTCGCGCCCTACGCTCTTTAGTCACACCATCATAGTAAGAATTTATTATTATTATTTATTTTACTAAAAAAACGCGTCGACAATTGTTTTTTTTAAATCGCAGTACAGAAAGTTAAAATATGTTAAACCCAGTTTAAAACAGATAATATGATTTATGTACTATTTGACCTTAAAGGAGGAAAAGTTAGTGAAATGATTAAACGACTTAAACGCCAGTTACCGTAGCAAAATCTGTGACAATGAAAAGTTTGCAAGAAATTCTTTCAGCACTTCTGCTTAGTTGCTCTCGTACATTGTCTTAAGACGCGACGTAACGTCAAAATAAACAATTTCAAATAATAAACCTGGCCGCGAACAAAGAAATACGTTCCAGCGATGTTTGTAAGCAATATGTAGAAAAATGCAAAAGAGTGGAACACAAAGGGGGCCCGCGGAATGCCCGCCGAGCTCACTCATCTGCCGCACTCACGAACACCGCGTCTATCTCGCGAATATTTTGGAAGCGACGTGTGTACGCAAATCTATTTGAAATAAATTCACCATAAAAGTATTACAGGGCGAATGTTATGCATGTTTGTTATTCATAAAAGCAACGTCCCTAGCATTTATTTACTTGACTTAGATATCTTATTCAATATATGATAGTAGTTAATATGTGCGAAGGACGACCTTAAAGTAACGCCGCCAACACGGAATGATTTGCATTTCCTTCCTTCAAGACTTGGCGACAGTTGCTACCGCGGAAAAAGTTTCAAAAATGTATACACTTGTGGAATGCCAACCATTGATATTGCGGAGACGGTATTTAGAGTTTCGTCGCTATGGACGATATCAAAATTCAGCAGTTGGCATTGTTCCAATCGTTATTTCAAAATTCCTCAGTTTCGTTGGTATACTTGATGGTTTGAAGTAAAATTGTGTTCTCTTATCAATATGATATACATTATGTTAACTAAATTAAGATTGTCCACCACAGGGGATACAAATATCTAGGCTACTTTGTAGTGTTTTCTCCACAAATCTATTGAATTGCTCTATGCACCGCAATCTTATCTAGATTGCGCTGTATGGAGTCGGGTTAAGTCCGTATATGGTTTTAATTTTTATTTAAAGGATTATTTTTCTTACTAAGACGCTTTTAAATAAAAACAAACATAGTGGCAGCAATTAGTCTGTCAAATATTCAGTATAGTTTCTTGTTATATAGTTTACTATCAAAAATTTAGTTACTTATTTCATTTTATGTATAGTTAAGTTAATTTTAAATATCTTCCTGTTTAGAAATTTCAAAGCAACACAGGTTCCGAACAATGCGTAATATTTCTTCGCCAAAGCCCAACAAAGTTTGCGTAGAGCTCATCAGTACGCTTTTGAATTGTACTCTGATACAACAAAACACGCAAATTGTCGGTATTTTAATATATCCGCGTTTATTTTCCTTTTTGGATCTCAATTCATTTATCCGAAAGACAATGAAAGGAATAATTTATCCATGAATATTAATGAACTGGGATTCGCACTCATCC